GCGGCTCCTGGCCCTGCTTTGCTTTGACTGAGCCTCATCTGACATGCCCCAGGGGGTAGGAATGGTGCCCCTGGCTCTGTCTGTCAGAGGCTGGAGAGGGACGGCAGGAGACAAATCGCTTGGTCATTGTCTTTGGTCCACCCTCCCTGGGGCACCTGGTGCTGGCCGCTGTCGGCAGACAGGATACAGGGCTAGATGGACCTTTGGGCTGACCCAGTCCGGCCGTTCTCATGTCCCACTCTCCAGGGTCGAATCCCTTTGCAGCTGGGGAGGGATGAGCCGCTCACAGACCACGTGCTGACAGACATGCTGAGAAGCCAGGAGGTCCCTGACAGAGGCATCCCCAAGCCAGACGGAGACATACCAGGTGCAGGAGCAATTTCAGGGCTGGGTCTATCCTGGCCCAGCCGTGGGGTGGCCTGGCAGCTAACAGTATCCGAGGCTCAGCTCACGTGTTAAATCCCTGGCAAATGGCCTCTCTTCGGGCCAGCCTCACCCCAGCCCAGCGCAGAGGGCACAGGGAGACTGGGTGCACCCCAGCTGGCTGGAAAGCAGAGAAACTGCCGGGCCCAGGCCTCCTTAGGCAGGGAAAGGCCTGGAAGGGCTGGTGTGGCTATTTCGGGGAGTCTGCTTCTTTATCGCCGGCTCCCCCTCCCTCTTCCGTCAGGGGTCGGCCCCCTCTGCAGTGACCAGAGCAGCCCGGGGCGCTTTGATGGACTCTCCGCCAGCGAGGGAGCAGCCCCAGGGGGGAAGCCTTTGCAACGTGGAGGCAGCAGAACACAGGAGCCAAGCTGCACAGCTGGCGTGGCCGGCGCGGTGAGTGCCACTGCCGCCCAGCTTGGCGCGTGATTCCCCCGACAGGCTCACCTCGCGGTCACAGGGCTGGCTCCGTGCCCTCTGCCGGGGCGGGGAGAGAGAGCGTCTGTCTGTCTGAGAGAGGAGGAGGAGCTCTGTCCGACCCTGCCACGGTGCTCCCAGCTGCGGAGATGTGGCTTCTCTGGAGCCATTCTTCTTCCCACCCCATCCCAGCCCCACGCCTGGCCTCTGTTACAGGCTGGGTTTCCTCCTGCAGGAACTCGAGGCCCTTCACGAACAA